CATTCTTTCTCCATATTGAAAAATAACATAACATAACATGGCAGAAAACACATCCCTTCAATTAAATTTGAAAAAATACTTTCCATTTAAATATTTTCATAAATGGAATGTTATAAATTAGGCATTAATGATGGGCTACTAGTTAATGACAGAGCTGGAATTTGTATCTCCTTGTGAATATACCCATTGACAAGCTAGGACAATTCAAAACTCAACGGACATCATATTTTTATTTTAATAGATGTAATGATTTGGTAAGATATTTTGAATGTCGAATAATTTTCTTGCCTCTGATTAATTCATCAGGATTTAAAAATTAAGTGCAAAGTTCAGGGAAAAAACAAGTCAGGTAGCCATAGTATGATAATAAGTTTTTTGCTGTTGTTGAAGGTTAACAACAGACACATGAAATGTATCCTGAGAAAATGTTTATACTAAAATCATTCAAATATAAAAATAAGAGGTAGGTCTTATCAGTCGTCTTGTCCACTAACAGGAACAGTACAAAAGTAACTTCCAGCAGGGAAGGAAGAACCTGGGACAAGCTGAATCCTGAATTTGGGGCATTGAGTGTTGACTGCAGAGAATCACTTCAAAGTAAACCAGGCTATGCTAAAGCTGACAGCTCTTTCAGCTGCATGCGGTCTAACCTTCGGTGTATGACCTGAAGCTAAATTAGTACAGGGTTTAAAGAATAAAGACATATTTTCAAAGGCTAAATCTAGCAGAGTGAGAGTTACAAAAATACTGTGCAAAATAAGAAATTATCTCTCTTTTGGGCCAAGCAGAATAAGGTGGTGAAGCATGGAGCCGAAACAGATCTTTATGCTCCACTCGATGTGTTCATCCTCCATTATCTATGCTCTTATAACTTATTATCAACTTTATTAAAAGTGGGTTTTAATTCCTTATTGGTTGGGTACACACCAAAACAAAAGATGAAAGATCCGGCTATGGAGTGACCTTCATCTTAGTACAATGTTGCCAGACCACTGGGGAATTTATAGAGTTCTCCACAGAATAGAGAGGAATCTACTCATAAGTAACTGGAAGAGGTTCTCACAGCCTTTACAAAGAGCATGACTCTTCCCATTAGGACACATACGTGGGATCAATTTGCACTTGAATTTTGTGATCTGAAAAGATTGAAGTGCAACTTGGCATTCACTTGGGATGAGACTTTACAACTAAATCCCTAGAGGGATGAGATGAAGACACACTGAAGACCAGCTCTAGGAAGCAGCGGAGAGAGACACCAGCCAGTAGAAGTCAGTTGAGAATGGATGTTACACTTGGCAACAGTATGGGTCATTTTGGCCTGCCTGTGGACTGCCCTTTCTAAACCTATAGTGGCTGAAATAGAACCATGGCATTTGAAGGCACACTTGTTAATCTCTTTATATGTTCAATCATGATCTGGCTCATTATCCCATTTACAAAAAGAAAGGTGGTGAATATCTAGTGTGGTGTTTTCATGATCCTTAGGGTAGGAATAAAAGAGAAAAAAAACCCACTATTCATCATTTCAAAGGGTTCACTGTGATGGAAGAAACAAGTGGGTTCTAATAGAAGGGTCAGGTGGCTCTGTCTTCCATGGATTATTATAATGTGATAGAGGCAGTCAAGAAGAGATGAGGGCAGTTGTATGGGTAGGCTTCCAGGTTTCCCATTTTCAGCTGTAGGATCTTTGGTAAGTCAACTTACGGACTGATGCTTTGGTTTCCTTACCTGAAGCTGTTTAGCAGATGATCAAAAGGGGCCTCAGACAAGTGAGCTATGATGGAAATGTGCCCTTCCCTGTGCAATGGCATATGTGAACGCACTGGGAAGAGTTTTGGGCAGCGCAGGATTCAAAAAGGTTGATGAAACAACTCTAGATCAGTGGTTCACACCCAACCTGGGGTTCACGGCCCCCAGGGTCAAATGACCCTTTCACAGGGATCGTCTAAGACCATTGGGAATAACAGACATTTACATTATAATCCATGCAGTAGCAAAACTACAGTTATGAAGTGGCAATGAAAATAATTCTGTGGTTGGCGGTCAGCACAATGCGAAGACCTGTATTAAAGGGCTGGAGTGCTAGGAAGGAGGAACTCTATTAAAGGGCAAAGCCCTAGGGAGGCGGAGTTGTAGTAAAGGACACAGCACCAGGAAGATAGAGAACCGCCACTCTAGGTTGTCAGCAGGAAGTTAGACGTCACTCTGAAAATGCTTCTGATTCCTTTATCCTCAACCATGCCGGTTGTTTTGATGTTTTCGTCCCAAAGTTTTAAATGTTTCTGAAAACTTCATAAGTGAGGGGCTACATTAGAAAGGGAAAAGTAGCTTTGTTTTTCTGTTCTTTTCCGGGAATGTTTGTAATTTCAAAAAATTCCAGCGGTACCTCTTTTCCTGATGTTCTTCAGGGAGTGAAAGAATATTTAAATCCACTCTTAAATGTTGCGGTACCCTGTCCTAGCTGCTGTCATACAGCGTTAGTGCGGACACACTTACTGCTCTCTCGTCAACAAAGTCAGATCAGCCTCTCATTTTCCCCGCACTTCCACCCTGTTCTGTCTTGGCTTTTCCCAGTCTCGCTGACCCTGCTCCAGAGGGTTCGCCTTTGGAAGTTTGAGATGCCCAGATCAACTCTAGTCAGATTTCAAAAAGCAACTTGACCATCTTGAAGAGAAAAGCCTTTGGCTCCCAAGCCTCATGCTATGTTGGTAAGCTTTTACACCATAAACCTTGGGCCCATGTGGGACTGCAGAGTGATAAATAAAACCCTATTTCTACTTTGGGGAATAGGCTTCTGTTGCATAGCTGAGACAGGCATCATGAACCTATGATCCCTCTGCCCTCCATTTGCAAATGCTGAGATTACTAGTGTGTGCCGCCACCGCACTTAGGTTCATCAACTCAACTTTTGACCGCTTTTCTTTTCATTTGAGTTATATACCAATCATGCCTTTCTTGTGAGCACTTTAGCTTCTAGATGCCTTGATTTCCAAAATGAGTGACTCTATATTTTCAATATCAAGCAGTATAACAAATGTTCATAGATGAATATATTATTGTAAAGAATATCTCGTATATGATTTTAAGAAAGTTCTATAAATCTTTAATCACTAGCTATTTGTTCCTGACAACAAATCGGAGATAATGAAGATAGAAGACTACGGCTAGTGTTTATTTAGTTATATGGTTCATGTGGGCAAGCACAACATAAAAATAGTCCTTCATCTGAAATGCTTTTAAAGTTAGATTTCAATTATATAATATTGCTGAAGATTTAGAAGAAATTAGAACATAGAGTAAATCCCTGCATATTTGAGAATGACGGAGAATAGAGAACAGCCATTTATTCAACTCCTAAATGTTCTGGTTGTCCTGGGCCTAACGACTTCATTAAATATTTTCAACATCTCCCCACAAGGGAACTAATCATTACAATGACTATTTTATGATCTTACTACTGTGGCTCAGATCTTACATCCCACTGAGGAATTTGGGCTTCGAATCCAGCTGTTTCTGACCTTGATATAAAAGTGCTTTGAGAATTTGAATAGATTAAATTGCTTAAAAGAAGTATTACAAAATAAGTTAAATAAATGGAGGACTTCTGGGTGGGAAGATAAGTTAAACTTTCTCAGTCTTATTCTTCATTTTCACAGATTCGTCCTAGATAATTTCGACAGATTTTTGCATTCAAGTCTTTGTGAAAAAATGGAATATGTTTTTTAAAAATATATTTAGTAATCCTTTGGCACAGATATATAAAAGTGCTTTGTTATTAAGGGATGTTACATGATGAATTATACGATGGTAGAGCTATAACCAGGAGCACAAGAATAATCAATATTTTGTTTATAGGTTTTTATGTTGTTTGAAATGGTAACATAATTACCTTTTAAAATTTTTGTTTATTTTTACGTGTATGAGTGTTTGACTTTCAGGTATGTCTGTGTATCACATACATGCCTGGTACCCGAGGAGACCAGAAGAGGGTATCAGATTCCCTGAGGTTGTAGGTACAGATGGTTGTGAGCTGCCATGTGGGTGCTGAGAACCAAACTCAGGTCCTCTGGGAAGGCAGCCAGTGCTCCTAAACACTGAAAAATCTCTCTAGTTTCAAAGTTATATTTTTGTTTATCTAAATCTTATAAGTAGCTATAACATTTTAAGGGTGAAGATAAGTTGAATAAATTCATAAACCATTCTATCTATTCTTTTATATATTAAGTGCTGATTGCCAAATTCTATCTATCAAAAACTGTATTTCCTGTGAGTTTTCTGGTGTGGGCTTGATATTCTTTCTAGAAAATTCTACTTTAACTATATGTGCTCATTAGAATTAATTGTCACTGATTTGTTCATAATAAATGTTCATAAAATAGATTCATAATATTTTGTTCATAATCTATTGAATACTATATTTCCTTTCATAACCTGAAAATAAAACCAGCTAATAATGAAAGTGTATATAATGTTTAAAAGACCATATTGTCATTATTGAGCATATGACAGTATGTGTTTAATTGTTATTTGCTGTTAGGGTAGCTTTACTAAACTCTCTAGCGTTTTACTTCTTAACATTTCACAACAAATAATTTTACAGTACATGAAAGAGAATAGTCTAGAATAATGCATAAAAGAGTTGATATAATCTTCAAAACCTTTTTTCTTATAGCTAAAATAATGCAGTGAAAAAAGTCAGATATTCTTTTATAAACTAGAGCAAGTTTGAACTCATGGCTCAGAATAGACTGAATACCATAAAACAGTCAAAAGCCCTAGTGATAATCAGTTCAAATCTGTCTGCCACATGCTGACTTCTGGCACCATCTTATTTCATAGAGAGAAAAGTTAATTCAAATCTAAAAACTAAGCACTCTTTTTTCAAAAATAAACAAGCACACTATGACCAGCTATAACTTTTTTTTTTACCTGTAATGCTATGAGGACCATATCACAGAACTTTGATAAAATTAGAACCTTTAATATTAAGCTTTCACCATGGAAGACATTCAACACATAAACTGTCACTACAATTAACTAGGATATTCTTGATGCATTAATTCATTTCCCAGGACTCATATGTGTCTTGTAGAACATTCTAACTAAAATTAGCCATCAGAGAAAAGAGAACTTAAGAATAAATAAAAACAAGATCCACGTTATTTAAATTAAGACACAAAGATGAAAGGAAAACAAATATGTCATTGAAAAGTTAACTTGTCTTTTTAAAGTCCATAATAAATTCATTTCCCTAGGAAGTCTTGTAAGGAAATCATCTGATTAGCAGAGAGCTGAGCCAGAGCCCTGCCCTATAACAAGTAGGCCCAATACATTTTCTTAATGTTGAGATCACAGCTCTGAGTCCTTCTGTAGCATGTGCATTTCTACACAGCAAACAAATATGCCAAGGCCATTGGTAAATGGTTCCAAATAAAAATTAATAAGTCAGGAAGCTAGCAGAATAGGAAGATTAATTTAACAGGCATATCTTCCAACAATCTCCCTCCAAAATCATATCTTGTAAAAACACAGAAAGATTGTTTTTAGCGATTAAAAATGAAAAGATATTAAACAAGAGCTGAAGATGTCAGAGTAGAGAGATTACTATCAGATACTGAGCGATGAACTAACTGGTCATCTGTCAACCTTGGTGCTACTCTTGCTACCTAGAGTCATGCTATTGTATGTTTTCCAGCTTTACTTTTATGCAGTGAAAATTAGAATTCAATAAATATGGAGGGTAACTCATACCTTAAATTCCTCCAAGATTTTGTAATTTTTTCCATGATATTCACAAAAGTTTTTCACTTCTTTACATTCGGGACAGCATCCATTGTGTTCCACTTTTGTACATTTCGGATGAATTTTAGGGCATTCTGGCTGGTCACAAACAGGTCCATCTAGAGCACAGACACATGGACAGTTGGAATGCCCCGGGAAAAACCGTTCTCCCAACTTGTATACAAAGCCGCTGTCATCCACACACCCTTTCCCTCGATAGTCATCAAAGATCAGATTGTCATTACTGGAAGCCTGGTCACCTTCATCAGCGGGATAGTCTTCGTGACTGATGGCAGCAGAGGTGACCAATCCAGGGATGACCAATAGAAGTATGCAAGCTTCATGAATATGAAGAGCCATCCCACTCCTCACGGGCTTCTGGATGTTCTCCCAGTATTAAATACACTCAGCTCCTTCCATGGGAATGTAAGAGGGGTGGGCTGAAAATAAATATTTAAAAGGTAATTTGACATAAGTAAAGTGAATAAAGATATACTTAAACCCACCTTAAATTATTTGCATGGGTTCAATCTGGAAGACACCAATGCTTTAAATAAACAATGGTCATCTGTCTACCAAAAGTTTGAATAGTGGAATTTGGTAATATATGTTTTAATAAAGGTCATTTATAGAGTTATTTTACTTAAGGACCTTTAAGTTGTAGTTTTTCATTGAGTTACAATTGTCTACCTGTTTGCACACTGTAAAAAGTGGTATTATTGAAACTTAAAAAGTAATTGCCAAGTTATTATTGATTGTTCAAGGATATCTGAAACAACATCTATATTTTTCTTTAAACTGGATGGATCAGTGGTAGATTGTAGGTGTTATAATAATCTGCATAAAAAGAGATTAAGATAAAGCATTAAACTAAAAAAGGGAATTAAAAAATAAAACAGTTTAGTGCAAGTTTAAATGAGATGGATACAGTACAAAGGCTTTCTTTCTCATGCCCATAATCTGGTTGAAACGCTCTGAACACGAAAACAGTTTAACAAATCATGGTGAATACCTAAATGCTACTACAAGAAAATTTAATTGTTGAAATGGACTTGTTAAAAACAAAGCCATTTATACTATTACTCACATCTTTATTTTTATGTGGGAGATAAGCTCCTAGTGGGCCAGAAATTCTTTTATAGCAACCAAGCTCTACTGGTCATGTGATGTTATTTGAAGTTGACTCATTCCATATAATATGAATAGCATTCACATTTTATTGAAAATATAACTCACTAGTAATGACCAAAATATTTATATTTAGGTAATTTGGGCAAAGACACTAAAAAAAAACTTTCTGTGAAACTTTCTTAAAATAATAAAAAATTGATATTCACAGACTATATTCCTTATTAACTAAGGAGCAATAACTGTTACAGACTTCCAGGGTGCTAGTATTTGGTATTAAGTGCTAGTAGTGAGAACCTTTTGAATATTTAGAATAGTTAGCTTATGCAAAGGTTCTGAAGAAACTAATTTCTGGGAAAAAAGGATAAAAAAATTATTCTAAAATATTTCATTTATCTATTTAAATGTTATTGGCTTCATGCCAATATCACTAAGATTGTATGTAGGGCATTTTAAGGTATCTAAGTTTCTTTTATTGTTTTATTTCCAAACTATACTAAAACAGTGATAAACTACTTCTTTTCAGGCTAGCATATAATTATGATAATTTTAAATATGATGAAGATGATGTTAGGAAACTTCATAAACTCTTAGAATACATTTGCATTTCAAGTTAGATATGCAAATTCTAGTAATAGTAAAATGGAAGGCGATGCATTCACATGTTCTCTTTTCAGAGAAGGTTGATATTAGTATTCCTTCAATATTCTCTGATATTAGAATTCCTCTTGGGTGAATTCCTTTGGGGTAATGATAAAGGAGATGAATTTCTCTTAAAATATGTCAAAAATAATGAGTCATGACAGTAGAAGAAAATGCAAACCTATAATTCTACTTTAGAACCTAGAAGCTCCCTTTGACAAAGCATTTCTTTTTGTCTAAATGACTACAGAGGCCATAAACATAGTAGAAGCTTCTGGAGAGACATAAATGTGATTTACTAATTAAAGCATACATTTATGCACCTCTCACATATGTAGAAAGTTTATCTTGCAAGACAAGGAAGCTACCGTGCCTCCTCACAGTGTCCAGCAGCGTCTATTAATCCATGCAAGGAAACCATGTGAAATTACATACAGGGTTCTGCTTTAAAATGACCCAGGCAGAAAATTATCATTTTGTAAGCCACAGGTAGGCATTAATGTGCAAGGTTATAACAAATGCAAACTTAAGGATAAAACAGGGGTGGGGTGCCTGCTTCATATTAGCAATAAGCTTGATTTTATTATGAGAAATACATGTCTTTATAATGAAAGAAAGTTCTTAGGCTATTTTTAAAAGAGCTATCATTATAATAAATATGATTTAGTACCCTCTAAAATGCCATTTAAAAAGAGGGAGGCTATTGAAATCAAACAACACTATTACCTGAAGATTTTAATAAGAATGCAACGCTGCTAAACTGAGGCTCACTTCCCAGCTAAACTTCCCCTCCCTGTATCGTTACCTATGAGTTAAAATGACTGCATCTGTTTATTTGAGAAAGCAAATACAACTCATGTCATAAGAGTCACTTACCGAGTCACTCTGAGGTTAATGGTGGTGCTGGGGGTCACAGACCAATCTGAACTTAAAGGTCAGGTATGTCTTAGGAAAGCCGGTCCTCTTTAGTCACCCAAAGAATGCATTTTCAGGCACGAATTAAAGGCAATCCATCCTCTCTACCTCCCATTTCAAAACACAGCCAAGAAGCAGTCTCCCACCCATCCAGAGAGAAACAGCAGACACACATAAGAAATACGCTTTGGACCTGTCTTCAGAATTCAAAGCAAGAAGCAATGCTGGTCCTGTGGAAATCCGGACCCCGGTAGCAGAATCATGTTGAACTTATTTTTAGCATTTTCTTAGATCCTTCTATGAAATTTCCTGGCTGCTTACGCCTCCTCCACACATGGGTTCACTTACACAGTGTTTGCTACAGCAGTAGAGGTGACTTGGCTAGGCTCTGAGGATCACAAACAGAAACGGCATACTGAAGCTTAAAGCACACTCCACCGGCAGAGCCATCAGCATCGTCCACAGTATGTTGTCTGGATCCCTCCTCAGACACCAGAAGATCCTAACTGTGGACGTGAAGCAAAGGCGCAACTTTAGCTGGGGTTTGGCATCGCTGGGAGCAGTTTGTAGACTGCTGCTGATTCGGAGCTCATCCTGCCGGCAGCCGGGAATTCCTCAGCACCACGGACAGCGCCAACAACTGGCTTCCGAGCCCTGCTTGGTTGAAACCCCCAGCTGCTTCCGCGGACCAGGCTGGAGTGTTGTCTAAGCAGTCACTTGATACAGCGGATGCGAGCCTGGGGGTGGAGGGGGGAGATTCTCCGTGCGCGACACTTATTTGCATTCAAATCACAATAAAAAATTAGAAAGATGTAATTTTGCTTAATGCATTCTTGGATGGGCTGCAGAGATGAAAGTTCCGGGGACTTGCATTTAGAGTTGAGCCATCTGCAGTCTTTGGTTATTACTAATAGATAAAGCACACTCATTGTCAAAGAATCTGTGAAAATGTATGCTTGCCGACTCTGTTTGACCCTCTGGTTATAGAAAAATTTTCCTTGTGCTATACATAATTCAACTTTGGATCTTCTGCAGCTCGGGTTTGATTTAAAAAAAAAAGTAGCCGCGTTTTCCTGCAGTTTGTTCTCTAACGTTAAAAATCAATGTCTTGTAATTCATCTACTCTGTCATTAGGCGTCATTGTAAAGCTGTTTCTTCCAACCCCCTAGCAAAGATACCCTGTCTCTAAATTCATAACCAAATGAGAAAAAGGAAGAGAGAATGGGGGAAAAAAACGGACAGACAAATGAGTAAAATGTTATAATTTTTATTTGTAACAGTTTGGATCATACAACATTTCCCCAAAGCTTGTTTTAAAACAAATCTGTTATTTATTGGTTTGTTTTAACCAGGTACTTACTGGCTTGGGAGCGGACTATGTGAAACATTGTTAAACCTTAGAGGGAATGCCCTCTGCAGCAGGGTGTGCTGGTGCTGGTTAGCACCACAATCGAACGGTGCCGTCAGAACCTCCAGAATACAGATTCTCCCCATCATGGGAAAACACCACAGTGTGGACCTCGCTCTCGTGCCCCACCAGTTTGTGAATTTGTCCAGATTTAAGATCCAGCAGATGGATTACCCCATTGGCACTCGCCTGAGCTAAAACTCGACCTGAAAAAACATGGAAACAGAGGGAGATTTAGCTCAAGCAGTCAGAGTATGCAAACGATACACATTTTATCTTGTTTTGACTGTGAATCAACAGATTCATTTTTATGTTAGGCCCTCATTAAAGATAAACTAAGTCATATCTATAAAAAGAATTTGAGCCATAATTAAGATACATTTAGAATAAAAGCCTAAAGCTCTATTTACTTAACATTCAAAGGTCATTACAAGCCCCATCATTCTTCTTATATTTGTGATTGACAGATCATTTTGAGATGAGATTGAGAATAACTAAAGGGAGTAACTTTATTTTTCAAATGAATATACTAAAATATTTAGAGGAAAAGCATTCAAAATTAAAAACAGAACACATGTCTTGCATAGATAAACCTTTAGGTATTTATTCTAGGAAATTCAAAATATATCTACCTGTTTTGAATATGTTTATTATAATTCTGCTAAAGCACTGTATAAAACAATAATAGTAGGGATATATATGAGTTCAGTACATTTTTTGGAGTTGAAATGAAATAATTAATATCTCTACTTAATAATAACATGATGTTTAACTTAAATTTCAAAGTTTCTGCAAATTAAAACATATATCTAATCCAAATCTCGTGTGGGAAAGCTTCATAATTTTTATGACAATTTTAGTGAGTAACAAAGAATTAAAATATCCTAATTTTAATTAATAATTCTATTGAAAAATCCCAGTAGAACAACTCTCTGGGCATGTGGAGGCAAGTAAAGCAAATAGAATATGCTTCCCCAAGTTTAGGACATAAGTATTAACCATTGGGTTATCTATTCATACTTAGAAGGCATGATGTCATCCCAATAACAGTGTTTAACATTTATTAAGCTCTTTCAACATGCTGATACTACACTGAATACATAATGTGAGTCATTCTGTACACTTGATACAAGGACTGAATGAAAGAAGAAATAGTAATTCCATCAAGAGGATGAAGACAGAAGCTTGAGAAGAAGATAACATTTAAACACAAATACTTCAAAACTGCAGCCCAGACTTGTAAACATCATATATCCACATCCAGATGACACTTTATCAGTTAAAGATCTAGACAGATTTTGGTAGGTGATCCTGAAAGAAAGGGAGTTTGTCCATTTTGGAGTAAGAATTCAACAGAGCTATCACCATAAGCATGGTGAAATATATGATCACATATCATCCTCAAATTGTCATAGCTGCCTTGGGGTTTTAAAACAGAGAGGGGTTTTAAGAGGAAAGTTAAGAATGATAAATATAGCCTATCTGTAAACCTCTATAACTACTGGGTTTCTTCATCTAGAACAAAACCTGACACAGCAAACACACTTAGGATGGATTAGAGTGTCCAATACAGCAGATGTGAATATTTATTATAAGCCCTCTTCTCCTAAAACCTTTGCTGACAGAGGCATTACACAAGACTTCCCTTCCAGCCTCACTCTAGAGGTGACTTCTGTGTGTGACTTTCCTGAAACTCAGACAAAAGATTTTTTCTTGAACTTTTTATACAATAGCCATTAAAGGAATGCTGGATTAAAAAAAAAATTGGAGCCATAAAACATCAAAGCCCTGTTATACTGTATATGTAATTCTACTTTTGTTTAGGGTATTGTTTTTAAACAGTTCATTTGAAAATGTAATGTATAATTAAGAAATACAGGTTAGTAGTTGTCTATAATAGTCAATCTTATGGTCATGTTAGGTATGTTTTCAAAGTAATAAACAGATATATTTAGATAGATAAATGATCCTCAAACACTTCAAAGAGTGTGGCATTTAATATGTTTAATAACCTAAGTTTTTTGTGACAGTGAAACATGTCTGCTCCTGACAGCACCCATTTACTTCAAAAGAAGATGATGGATATGAAAGAAATTCTGTATGGAGTTTTCTTTCTTTACAGCAAAGTTCGCCATTTGGGCAAAGAGACTTTCCTTACCTCAGTTACTGACAGGACACTGTCCAAACTGGACCAGCAGGATGTAAAAGCAAACTAGTGCCCTTCAAAGACAGCCCTTCAAAGTCTCCTGCTTCTCAGAAATGTCTGTCAGATATAGCATGCCTGTAGGCCAAAGCTGGATACCCCAATGTTACAGAAGAACCTAGGGTGGTTGTCTAGGCAGCCAGATGTCCCTGTTGTTACATAACATTTTCACCCTTCTGGGGTCTTTGTTGGAGTTAAAGAGTAAATAATTAGACTTAAACTTTCCTTAGTTAGGATAGAAAGTGAATTAGGTACAGAACTCTAGACTTACTGAGATAGGATAGATAACTGAGTACTTTCTCTAAATTTACCAAATATAAAAGGACTGGATATTGGAACTGTAATTCGTATTTAATAACTGTTTTGGTTGTATAAATTTTCCTGTTAAAATTAAAGCCTTCTTTTTTAATTTGACAAAAAAAGAACCAAAGTCTGTAAGGAGAAAGATTTAGCCTAAAACCACTATTTTGTGGTCAAACCTGTATAAGTCAATGTTAGTAATACTGAGAGGGACTTAAGGAATTTCTGAAAGTCATTACAATAAAAAATTTTAATAGTTTTGCATAATGATTTAGCCGGTTTACATGCAAACACTTTTTATGCTCCCTTTCTACTCTTGCAACATACGAAAAGTAGGTAAAGACTTTAAAATTTCCAAGATGTATATACCTTTAGGTATATCTACACAATGAGTGTGCTCTACACATAAAATTATAAGACTAGAACATACTACTGGAAATTATTTTCTGGTATCCATATGTGTGCTATGGAACACATACAAAACCCTCATATATGTCAACAGATTTAAAAAATACTTAATTATGACATGGACAATGGGATGATATATAATCTGAAACAGTGCCACAGGAATTTACGTGAGACTTGGAGTAGTATTACTCATGTTAAAGCCGATTTACTTCTCTAAGGTCTGAAAGGCCTCAGCCCCACACAAATAACCACACACTACTAAGAAATACGGAGAGCAGGAGAAATTGTCTCCTTCAGAGAAAGTGCTATCCAATACCAATGTTCAGCCCTGAAAATATCCATGCAAATAACATTATATACAGACTAAGCAGGCTGTATTATTGAACATGCAACAACAATTAATATATGAAGAGGGCATGAATTTGAAAAAGACAAACCCGGGGCGGGGGGGGGGGTGTCTAGATGGAGGAATGCAAAGGGTGAAATGTTATAACTGTGACTGCAAAATTAAGAAGATAAATAAACAGGAAATATGAAAGTAGAGCACAAATTAATTCATTTCTACTTTTAATTTTCTTGTGTTTTGAGTAAATAGGCAAATAGGATCCATTAATTAAATTATGAATGTGCATATTCTAAATATAGCATATAAAATATATCTGAAAAGGTATAGTTTTAAAATTATATTTTATATACAATCAGTGTTGATTAAAAATAAAATTATACAAAGTACGTTCACAAAGTTAGGTGTTTTTTACTCGGTCTTTGAGTTACCATGCAAAGTACTGGTTTTCATCATGACATCTTCACAGATATGTCATTTTACCTCATTCTTATTATTGACTCCCAGTTCCTTGTCCCACTGTCCCCAATTTCCTGGTCTGTCTGGTCCTTTTCCTCTGCCTCAGGCCTCTTCTTGACTTCATCTGCCATGGCTTCCACCACCATCTCGTCACACTCCCTTAAGATCTTTCTTCTCTATGCTCTCTTTCTGCTTTCACAACCTACACACACACGCACACACACACGCACACACACACACACACACACACACAAACACGCACTCTTTCTCTCTCACACACATATACACTACTATTAAAATAAACAATTCTATATTTAAACATCATTTGAATAAAATATGACTTATTTCTTTTATGTGTTACATCCAGAAAATTAAGCTATTCAAAGTTTTCATCAAGTAAGAAAACACTATTTTGGGGTATGTTAATTTTTAATAGCTGTATTTATATAAATAACTCAGTATATATCAACAATGAGAGATTATGAGTACTTTTCATCTGTAGTGCCTCCAAAATCACAATTAACATTTATTTATCAATGAGGACAATTCCATTTTGCTTTAATGA